GCACGAGTTCAGATGTATCCTTTCATGTCTCTCATTTGTCTCAACAGACATTCTTTGGGGATTGCTTTCCTCCTCCTCTTTCCTCACTGCCACTTATGATGGGACCAGCTGGCTGAACACGCACAGCAATTTGAGCACCTCTAGCAAATGAGATGGGTGAAAGAAATCCTCAGCCACTTAGCATGCAGGTGGCACAGAGTGCCAACGCTGAAATAATTGATGCAGTTGCTGAGTGACAAGGTTTATCTATGTGATTCATTCACCAGGCAACGAAAGTAGCAACCCACTCTAAAACCGGGCCATCCTTCAAAGGGAAGGATTGTTATACCCACGTTTTACCACTAAACGTAAATGGGAATGTCATTCTTATCCCAACCATCTGTAATTCTCACAGGGTATGTGTTGAAGTGTTGGGGGGTGGGACATAAAAACTGGATGAACTTCGTCTCAATGGTCATACCCAAGAAATCAAATGCACCGGACCCAGCTCTTTGAGCTCTACGTAATAAGTTGTTGCTCTGGAGTGAGACTGGCTAGGATGCCCAGTGAGTTACTAGGATGGTGAAGTATGAAGGTGAGAGGGTTTAAACGCCCACCCTGAAGCCAGGAATTTATGTGGGACAGTAACACTTGACTGTTACCAGAATCAACTGGCTTCTTACTAACAGGGCATATGAGAAGATTTATGAACTGTAGGTGGGTTCCCACGAGGCAAGACACAGTGATAACAGCAAGAATCTTTATTGAACTAACAGAACTGGGAAACAGGGGCAAAGCAACTGCTTATATACATTCTGAAGGCCTGGCCCACTCCCACTCCCAATGTGATTGGCTATCTAAACTTCCAAGCGGCGAATCATAACTCAGAGTTTAAGGGCCAATGGCAGAGGCCCAAGTCCTGAATTGTTCTGTGATTGGATATCATGTATCGAATCAGAACACAGGGGCTCAGAATCCTTAGTCCAAACTCAAGCTCAGGCAAACACAGACTACTGAATACATAACAATTTAAAGGTGATATTCCAAAAGAAAAAGCTATTTTTTTTCTGTACGCGACATCAGCGGCGAAAATCTGGTGGCTAAGTACTGGAAGGGTAACCAGGCACCGACCAAAGAGGAATGGTTATGTAAATTATTTGAATATTTGGAACTGGCCAAATTGACAGATATAATAAGACTAAAGCCAATGAATGGAAGGAATGGAATTGCTTGAATTACTATTTAGAAATAATAATAATAATAATTTATTCCCCGCCCATCTGGCTGAGTTTCCCCAGCCACTCTGGGCGGCTTCCAACAGAATATTAAAATACAATAGCCTATTAAACATTAAAAGCTTCCCTAAACAAGGTTCAAATGTAAAAATTTGGCTGTGTCTAGAATGACCTCGTGAATGGAACAGGGGAAATATACATATATACACATCTATATATTAAGATGAAAATAATACTGAAATACAGATAAAATATGAAAGGCATAGCTGTCAAGTGTCCCTTATTCCAGCGCCATGTCCCGCTGCTGTCCCTTATTGATGGATGTCCCTTAAATGATGTCACTTAAATTTCAAAGGAAGCAGCTCAGGCCAGGGAGGAGGGAGGCTCCAACTGTGTTGCTTGGCTGTGTTGCTCACCCAATAAGAAGTCTAAGAAAGACTGGGGGGTGGAGCTTGCATGCCTTCTGTGTGGCTAGTTAATGCAAGCTGAGGGGCCTTTTGAATGCTGGACGCCATTTTGTTGCACGTGCTGCTGCAAACTTTGCAGTGCAAAGCCAGGCCGGGGAGCCATCTTAAGTTGAGGCTGCATAGGCCTTGTGGTGCATGTGATTCAGATTCTATTCAGTTGAACCTCTGGTTACAAAGCTGGTTGGACAGTGTTCTCGAAGCTACCCAGCATGAGTTTGACCAGACTGCAGGAGGACAGGAAGACTGGAGTGCCTGGAACAGGTGAGGCTGCAGGTCCCTTATTTTGGCTACTGGTCCCTTATTTTCAAATCTGTAAGTTGACAGCTATGATGAAAGGTGAAAGGAAGTTTTGTGAGAGTGATGGAAGTCTATTATTATTATTATTATTATTTGTAAAATAGTGTTTATTGTATTGAAATGTTATACTTTTCTTTATTCTGTTACTGTTTACCTTTCTTTGCATTTTTTTCTTTTTCTTTGCTTTTTCTTTCTTTCTGTTTTATTGGATATTATTCTTTATGTATGGTTTTGTTTTGATATATTTACTTTGCAATATAATATTTATTTTTTAAAACCATTTAAAGGCACTGAACGAGCTCCCCAGGAAAACAAGCAACATGTACGGAGAGGTCCCAAATAGACATGGTTTGAAGGCCCTCTTGATACCTGGTTGCCAGGAAATATTGAAGTGTGTTGCTGCCTGCCTTCATTTTCACCAAGCTGCTGTCTTGATTTACAGTTATGTGTATGATAACATGTTAAGTAAATATTTGCACGATGGTTGGGGAAAACTGGCTGGTCTTGCACTGGGTGAGAAATAATGTAGCTGAACCACCCAGCGCCAATTGTATAAAATAAAAATAAAAAGGAAATTGTGACCGAAAATGGGCCTTGGGCTTAATCTAGTGGGCTGATAGAGAGACAGATAGATGATAGATAGATAATTTATTACGGTCAAAGACCAGCTCACGTAACATAACACAATGAAAACAGCATTCATAAAGATAAAATATACAATCGGAGTAGATTGCAGCAATAGCTCATGAGTTAAAATTGAGATATATACATACACCCGTACAACTGAGATTTGGGCTACCATAAAAAATTGACCCTGAGGCGCCCCCAAGGGCAACTTCAGCATTTCCCTAGTGAGCTATTTTATTCTAGAGGATGATCTGTGCCTACAAATCTGGGCACAGAATCTGGCTACCAGCCAGGTCGTCTTGTGATCTTTGCCGAAGAGGAGAGAATTAAGTTTAGACTTGTCTGAAAGATCGGCGAGCCTCTTCAACAAAACATCGATGGTGCCTCTACGGATCTCAACATAAAAAGGACATCTAAAAAATAGATGTTCGGGGCTTCCTGTTTCCCCTAATGGGCAGGCGCAAAGTCCCTGTGTGTACGGGACTCTTCTATAGGAGCCTTCCAGAACCGGTGAGGGCAAGGCCAAGCTTCTAGCAAGAGTAAAAGCCCTTCTTGTGTTTCTGGATGTGAGGAAATAGAGATATGTTGCTGGAGCGGCTACGTATCTCCCATTTTCTATGATTTTATCATCAGGGACCCTTGTAAATAATAATAATAATAATAATAATAATAATAATAATAATAATTTATTATTTGTACCCCGCCCATCTGGCTGGGTTTCCCAAGCCACTCTGGGCGGCTTCCATAGAAACCAAAAATACAGTAAAATATCACAGATTAAAAACGTCCCTGTTCTCCCTCTATGTCCATTATTCTTTGCCTAACCACAGATCTAGCTTGGCCCAGGCCCATAGTTATGAGGGTTTGGGGAGCATGGCTCAGTTTCTGAAGAGTGTTTAAGACTGCTGTTTGCCAGCCAGACTGAAAATGGTCGCTCAGAATCAATGGGACTATTCCTTGGGGAAGCAGTTTCAGAGTTAGCTACTTATATATTGATGTTAGACTAATATGAGCTTCGACTTTCATCATGCCTGTTTCTAGTCTGATCCATGCATTTGAAATGTATCTAGGAACTTGTAGAAGGGGTCTGAGGAGTTTGGATTGCACTCTTTCAAGGGGAATGAACAAGAAGGGAGGCGGGCCCAGAAAGGATCCCTAAAGGAGCTGTGCCAACGTTTTGGCTTTATATAATTTTAGTGCCACGGGGACATAAAAACCTCGAGTTCTAAAAAATTTAAGGATAGCATTTGCAGATCTTTCTCCGGCATGCATCTCCAAGCATATCCTGATGCTTGGACTGCCATTCCTAAATATTTATAGTTCGAGACTACCGTATTTTTCGCACCATTGGACGCACATTTTTTCTTTTAAAAACTAAGGGGGAAAGTCTGTGCGTCCTATGGAGCGAATGTGTGGTCCTGGGACTTCCCCCTCCAGCCCCTCCAAGCTCAGGTTGCAGCGGAGAGGCTGCGTGGGCGGCTGGGGAAACCCCAGGCTTCCCCATTCAGCCCGACAAACAGCTGAGAGGCTGTGTGGGCAGCTGGGGGAAGCCCTGGGATTCCCCTTTCAGTGCTACGAGCTCAGGGCGCTCAGCGCGCAGCAGAGAGGCTACCTGTAACTTGCACTCTGTCCGTGAGCCGCTCTAGGGGGCTGGCTGGGGAAGCCCTGGGATTCCCATTGAGTCGGAGAAGCTCAGGGCGGTCAGCGTGCAGCGGAGAGGCTGCCTGTAACTTGCCCTCCGTCCTGTGAGCCGCTCTAGGGGGCTGGCTGGGGAAGCCCTGGGCTTCTCCATTGAGTCCAATGTGAGCCGCTCTAGGGGGCTGGCTGGGGAAGCCCTTTACAATGAGCTGGAAGATTTGGACATCCCCTGCCGCCCCTCCCCCAGGTTATTGTGCCGGTAATTCCCAGCATTTCCTCCTTTTGCTCTGGTTCCACGAGGCAAGGCAGCTGCCCTCCACAGACATCCAGAAATGTGAGATCTCCCTCTCTCTTCCTTCCTTCTTTCCCTCCCTCCCTCCCTCTTCCACCTTAAATAAAATATTTGGGGGGGGCAGTAAAGCCCCACCTCACATACCACATTTCAGCCCTTCTCAACCTGTGGGTCCCCAGATGTGAACGCCTCTAGATAGCAAGGCCAGAGCTCAGGGAAGATGGGAGTTGAGGGATGATAGGAGTTGTAGTCCAAGAACATCTGGGGACCCACAGGCTGAGCTCTCCCTCTCCCTTCCTTCCTTCCCTCCCTCCCTCCCTCTCTCCCTCCCTCTTCCAACTTAAAAATATGGGGGGGGGGCAGTTAAGCGCCCAATAGTAAACATTGGAGATACTGTACTGTACATTACTGACAGTTCCTTACCACTGTATTTTCTTGCAGAAAACCTCCCCCATTCTGATAAGGATGATAAAGCATAAAAGACTAGCATATAAGATTCCTTTTAAACTAGAGGTAGTAAAATATGCTAAGGAGCATGGAAACAGAGCAGCAGAGAGATATTTTGGACCACTTCCAACTGAAAAAATGATAAGACAGTGGAGGAAACAGGAGGATCAGCTGCAAAAAGCAGATAAAAGCAAGCACACTTTTCGTGGACATGCTGCAAAGTGGCCACAGATGGACATTGCCATGAAAGAATGGATCACAAAACAGCGGAATAAAGGCTTCGCAGTCTCTACAAAAATGATAATATATGAAGCCAAACGCATTGCTTTAGAGAAAGGCATTCACGATTTTACTGGCTCACCATCATGGTGCTACAGATTTATGAAGCGATGTGGCCTTGCTATGCACACTAAAACTAGAACTGCACAAAAAATGCCAGAAGAATATGAATCTAAGATTCTGTCTTTTCATAAATTTGTAATTGATGCTAGGAAGAGAAATGGATTTGAAATTGGCCAGATTGGGAATATGGATGAAGTCCCTCTAACCTTTGATGTGCCATCTAATAGGACTGTTGATCGGAAAGGTGCCAAAACTATCGCCGTGAAAACCTCTGGACATGAGAAAACCCATTACACTGTTGTGTTGTCTTGCTGTGCAGATGGCACCAAATTGCCACCCATGTTAATTTTCAAAAGGAAAACATTTCCAAAAGAAGTGATTCCACGAGGAGTTGTACACGTTCATGAGAAAGGATGGATGGACGAAAATGGAATGAGAGTATGGGTTGAAAAAGTGTGGTCCAAACGTCCTGGAGGGCTTTTGAAAAACCTGCCTTATTAGTACTTGACCAGTTTAGAGCACATATTAGCGAAACTACAAAAAAGTGCTTTAAAGAAGTGAAGACTCATCTAGCTGTAATTCCTGGAGGTCTTACCAGCCAGTTGCAACCTCTCGATGTTTCCATCAACAAGCCATTTAAGATCTTTATGCGAGAAGAGTGGAACAAATGGATGGCTGCTGGTAATCATGATCTAACACCCACTGGACAAATGAAGAGGCCCACTATCACTCAAGTTTGTGAATGGGTGAAAACATCATGGCACTCGGTGAAGGAGGAAATCGTCGTCCGGTCATTCAAAAAATGTGGCATTAGCAATGCTTTGGATGGTAACGGAGATGGTATTTTACATGAAGATAGCGAAGAAAGTGATGTCAGTGATTGTGAGCAACTGAGCTCCACAAATTCTGACTCTAGCAGTGATGAGTTCTTGGGGTTCACAGAAGACTAGAAGAGTACTCAAACTTTAAAGTCTCTCTTCATTTGTTAATGACAGTGATGATGGTTCTTAATGCCATTGTTGACTGCTGTTCACTTTACATGGCTGTAATATGATTCTGATATACTGGTTGTTTATTAAATACAGTAGTTTATACAACATTTGATTCAGAATATTTTTTACTTGTTTTCCTCCTCTAAAAACTAGGTGCGTCCTTTGCTCCGGTGCGTCCAATGGTGCGAAAAATACGGTAGTTGTTTTTCTATTTTCTGTACCTGACTGGATTATATTTCCATTTGGCTTGTTGTTGACTGCTTTATGGGAACGGCATTCTTCTTTTCTCCTAATTAGCTCAGTCAGGGAAGTAAGCAGACCCAAACATTCTGAGAGGAAATTTTTGATCGGCTCAAGTTCTTTGCTTATCTGTGTTGAGTATTCTTTCAGCAGATCTTTATACAGCCCTATCAGAATGTAGGGATAATTGTCCAAGTCCAAATATTGTGCTCTTGTGTTGTTAAGCCACTCCTCCGACTCAGTCAATGGGGGGATCCTGCCTTCTCTTTGGGCAGAGGGGATTGGGTGGGCTTGTTTGTCCTAGTTTCTGAGTTTCCCGATAGTAACTCCTGCTCCCGTCGGGCCTCAGGGACCTCGTTTTCTAAAGTTGCTTGTTGTAGCTCAGTTGCCAGGTCAACTCGCTACCCTCCTCCATTTGCTCCCATATCCTTCCCATGCCAGGTACGGTCGACGGACCATCCGTGTGAGTGCAGGCTTTCCATGTTTCTTGTATCGTCTGCTTTTGGTTTGAAATAGTGTAAGATTTTGGCCTGCTTTTACCTTGGGAGGACTTCTGCAGCTTGTGTAAGAGAAATTCCCAGTTCTTTTTAACTCTGTCTTGTGAGAACCATCCCCGGACTAAATTAGGGTTACTTTGTCCCTTCCGTATATTTGAGGGCTTTGTTTGAAAGAAACTTGGAGCGTTGTAATTAGCCTCAAATAGTTTTAGATAACCTCAAGGAGTTTTGGATGGCTTCAGCAGGATTTCAAAGGGGCCTCAAAGGAAGGGAGGATGTTCAAAATGCCGTCCGGCGACTCCTGGAGTCCTTATCTGGCTGGGATATAAGCTTGTTTTCCGGGAATGTGTCTTTTCCCCTTATTATTTTTTAAAAGCACCTACTCACTCTGGTGAGGCTCACAGGAGACTTGCTTCAGGCGCCATCTTCTCAATTTAGTGGGTTGTTCTTCTGCTCTGAACCCCAAGTTCCACCAGCAAAAAGAAAAAGAAAAGGGCTTAGAAAGATGTGTAGAAACATGCTCTTTAATCAGGCGAGATGTTACACAAGGCAGAGGTATCGACAATAATCAGGCTGATGTTGTAGCCATGAGGTCAGCTTGGAGACTTGGCTCTAAGATGAACATGAAACCAGGTCCCTCCCCACTCACTGCTTATCTGCTAAACATCACCTCTGCCTTTTCTTTTTTTTGCTGCCAGAATGTTTCTGTTATTACTAACAAGATCCCATCCCTAAAGAAAAAGAAGTGCATCCAAGAGATATTGTAAGCAACGTAATTACAGACTTAATTCCTCAGCAGATTCCAGACATCCTAAAAATGAAAACAAATGAGAGAACATCTGTTGTGGCCATGCTGCAAAATGAAAAGAGCAACTAAGGGTTGTATCTAGCACTGGTCATACTTGGGGCAGACCCACTGAAATGAGTGAATATAATGAACACAGGTCCATTCATTTCTATGGTTCTACAGGCACCACAGGGCAGGACAGAGTCTTTAAGAAAGATGTGCTCTCCCAAGCCCAGATTCCCAGTGTGTTTGCACTCCTGTCTCAGCGACATCAACACTGGCTTGATCATGTCCACAGAATGGAAGACGGTGGGATCTCCAAGGATGTGCTCTGTGGGGAGCTGGCTTCAGGCACCAGGCCCATTGGTATTGAAAATTCATGATGATGGCCACCTGTCTAATTTCAACTGGGCATTGATTCCAGAGGGCTGGAGCTGCAGCACTAAAAAGCCCAGTGCCTAGTATAGATTAAGGTACTCTCAGCAGTGCCTCATCTGAGGGTGCAGTTGCCAGGCAGGGATATTTGTTGTTGTTTAGTCAGTTAGGCATGTCTGACTCTTCGTGAGCCCATGGACCAGAGCACGCCAGGCACGCCTGTCTTCCACTGCCTCCCGCAGTTTGGTCAAACTCATGCTGGTAGCTTCAAGAACACTATCCAACCATCTCGTCCTCTGTCGTCCCCTTCTCCTTGTGCCTTCCATCTTTCCCAACATCAGGGTCTTTTCCAGGGAGTCTTCTCTTCTCCTGAGGTAGCCAAAGTATTGGAGCCTCATCTTCAGGATCTGTCCTTCCAGTGAGCACTCAGGGCTGATTTCCTTAAGAATGGATAGCAAAGTAGTTCCTTAGGGGTAATCTGTTCCCAAGTTCTCAGCCTGTTTCATTATGCAGAACAAAGAGAAGACAGCTGACAGGAATACAATCCTTTCCAACTTCATTTGATGTCAGTATGATGCCCTGGCTACTGCTTATCTTCCCAACCTATTGCTGGCTTGGTATCATTTGTTTGCTTGTGTGTGTGTTTCCTGTCTTCCTGCAGCAATTCTTCTCCACTGAAGATGTCCTAGCGACTGTGATGTCACAAAGCCTTTCCCCCACCCTCCCTTTTCATAACAGCATCACCAGACCAGAGGGCAGATGGGCAGAGCAACCCAGACCCTGTTGACGCAGGGGGCACAAAGTGATGTCACAAAGCCTATCATTAACCCTTTAGCACGGAGACACTTTGCAATGGTTGCACAGTAAACACTAGAATTAGTGCTTGGGTGAGCATTGTGAGGGGTGGGGAGGGCGGGTGTCAATATGCCAACCTTCCAGGACATGGGGAGTTCCTGCAGAGGGGTCTTGTCTGGCCAAAGGAGGTGAAAGAAGGACTTCTGGCTGCAGGTGCCCCCCATGGCTGTTGCTACCCCCTGCCAGCGAGGTCTGGGTCATTCTGTTAATCTGTCCTCTGCTCCAGTAGTGGTGTTAGTATATGCTGAATCGATCCAGAATGAAGCAGCTGCCATCTATTATTTGATCATTGATAAGAGGGGCTGTCCTGGTATGTATTACTGGGACTGGGGTAGGTGTAAACTGAGGGGGAAAGCAAGCCTATTCCAGCTTTGTCCACTTGTGTTCTCAGTATAGCATTGAGGCAGATCAGAAGGAAGGGCAGTAAAGGTAAAAATTAAAGGACCCCTGGACGGTGAAGTCCAGTCAAAGGCAACTATGGGGTTGTGGTGCTCATCTCACTTTCAGGCCTAGGGGGGCTGGTGTTTGTCCACAGCTTTCCGGGTTATGTAGCCAGCATGACTAAACCGCTTCTGACGCAGCGGGACACCGTGATGTAAGCCAGAGCACACGGAAACACCGTTTACCTTCCCGCTACAGCAGTACCTATTGATCTACTTGCACTGGTGTGCTTTCGAACTGCTAGGTTGGCAGGAGCTGAGACAGAGCAACGGGAGCTCACTCCGTTGCAGGGATTTGAACCGTGACCTTCTGATCGGCAAGCCCAAGAGGCTTGGTGGTTTAGACCACAATGCCACCCTCGTCTCAGTAGCCATGGTCACTACATGTCTTTAGGCTCCAGGCAAAAACATTCCTCTTTACCCAAGCCTATGGCTATCTGTGGCCCATGAAAGTGTCGAGGAGAGAGGTCTGTTATTATGGTGACTATTATTAGGTTGTCTGTCATTATGGGTTTTTATTATGTTCTTATCATTGGTGTTCTGTAATGTGTTTTTAATGTTGTACACCGCCCTGGGATCTTCTGATTCAACATAAATTGAATAAATAAGAAAATAAATAAAATGCAATTTAAATGGGAATAGAATAGGGAACTGGGGAAGATTGTGACCGGGTGCCTGCTTAGTCAGTTTAAACTGGGGTTAATTTGGACAGTTCTTCAAAGAGAGGACACTTTCAAATCTATAAAGTAGGACACATGGAGATCCTGCACCGAGCCTATAACTGGAATAACAAACAGTCTTTTGAAGCAAGTAATGCATAAGCACAAGAGAAATCTGTTATGAAATCCTCAGGCTTAAATGGTTTTCTGTCCATGCAGGTCAAATGACCCAGGCTGTAGCTGCTAAGCGGTGAACAGCTGATTAGCTGTTTCAGAGAAGCCAGCACTGTTCTGCAGCCACCTGTTGCAAGGGTTTGAGTGAACCTGAGTCAGCAAATCTTGTGCATTTGACTGTGTCAGTTGGGGGCTGTCGAAAAGCAGGAAGGCATTCAAGGCACAAAGACTGAACAGCAGATTTACATCCCGGGAGGTAAACAGAGATGCTCTCAGCAGTTGAGCAGTTATTGGGTCCCTGGGGATGATCCAGGAGAGGTCTAACCTAGGAAACTTGGGCAGCCGTTTCTCTTGAGCTACAAGAACCGTCTTAATTCCTCATCAGCATCCAAAGAGTGACACAGCCGTCATCTGGGATAAACTTGGCCACCATGACAACTATGGCAAAGGGTGCCGAAAAGACTTCCCTTGTGAATGAAAGAGGTGGAAAGAGGTACACCATAGATCTTCCCAGGTAACCATGTCATGCCTGTTTCATACTATTGCTTTACTCTCTGCAGAATACCAAGATAGGCATGTTCTAAAGATGTTACTGTTACTTTTATAATTTGCTGGAAGTTGCCCAGAGTGGCTGGGGCAATGCAGACAGATGTGTGGCATATTTATTAATTATTATTATTATTATTATTATTATTATTATGAAACATTATTGGTTCTAGACTTGCTGCAAGCTGCAGCATCACTTACTACAGAACATTCTCATTAATGTGGGATAAGTTGTGGATAGGCACGGCAGTGGAATTCAATTCAGTTTGCCACTGATAGGTAAGCCTACCTAATTTGATCCTTCCAAAACAATACACAAACTGAAAAACTGTGCAGCTTTGAAATTTGCATTTCTCTGAATTTGCAATGTAGTTCTCCAGTCAAGTAATGGTGTAGAAAACTGCATATACTGAGGTAAAATGTCCGTAAAAATGGATATATTAGTGAAAACAGGATGCAAAAAGGCATTATATTAAAAAATTGTATATTAGGCAAAACTGCATACTTACATGTGTATATTAGGAGAATATACACCCTAAAATGCTGCTGAATTTTCATGAGGACTTTGAAAAATAAGTAAATTACAAACAGATGTGGAAATGTGAGAACAGAACTTATGAATGAAGCTGGGAGAAACCAAAACTGACAGATTCACTCATTTTCAGTTATGGATTACAAGTTTAACTTACTTGATATATTCTGTTATCCTACTGTATTGTAAGCCACTTTTGTTATCCTACAAAATACTGAAGTATAAATATTAAAGCTAATTATTTAGATAGCTGCAAACTTGGCTCCGTCTCCCTTTTCCTGTAATACATTTCCTCCCAAATATTTTGCACAATCCTCACATGTCTACTCAGAAGTAAGCCCAGTGGGTTCCGTGGACCTTGCTCCCAGGTCAGTGTGTATAGGATTGCCGTTATAGTGAACTAGATGATTTAGAGTTAGGTTGCAACTTATATATAGTTTACTAGGAATGAACCCCACTGAAGTCTGTGGACCTACTTCTGAGTAAGTTTACAGATGATTGCCCTGTTATCATCCAAGTAAACTGGGGGAGGAGCTATGGCCGAAAAGATATGAAAGAAATCTATTAACTTTCTTCTTTTTTTAGTGTTAAATTGGTTCAAGAGGCTTCATAGGACGTGATTCATATAAATCGGGCTTCCTCAACCTCGGCCCTCCAGATGTTTTTGGCCTACAACTCCCATGATCCCTAGCTAGCAGGACCAGTAGTCAGGGATGATGGGAATTGTAGTCTCAAAACATCTGGAGGGCTGAGGTGAGGAAGCCTGATATAAATAGAAGTAAAGAAACAAATTGTAGCCACCTTGGTTATTTGTCACAGTCACATCCAAGGAATATTGACACACACTCTTCGTTACTTCAGACTGATGTATTTTGCGCCACCAGTCTGAGCCACACCACTGTAATACCAATAACTCACTCGTCGAATTGAGAGCAGAGTGGGATGTTTTCTCAGTCAGCCTAGCAAATTTACTGTCGCACAGCATAGCACATTAATTACATGCTATTGGCGTGTAATTTATTCAAGGCCCCCACTGAATGCATAAAACCTCTTAAGATAAGCAGGCTAGTAAATTAACGAAAGAAATCTAAACCAGCAGCCTGATCCCCAAAGTCTTGGAAATCTGTGATTTCACAAATATGGACCCCACGTTTCCATACTCTCGTGTGCAGAGAATCTCTCTCACTTGGCAGATAACCTGTATCCTAAGGATCTCAGATGCCTGCCCTTGGTTTAAAAGGAGCGCAATTCTAGTCTTTGTGGCTGCAAAGGTGAGCATGAAAATGTGTCGTCAGCAGAGGTGCCACCATGGCTGAAGATTGGGGGGGCGCAGCGTGAGTGTGAAATCACGCATGTGGTGAGTGGCGCGTGCACACTGTCGAGAGGAGGCGTGTCATTGGGAACAGACCTTGCCCAGTGCTGTGCAGCTTTAATGGCTGTAGCTCCTCCTCTCTCACACTCAGGAGGAGTCTGCCTTTGATGTTGTGCCACGCTCAGCTTGGTGACTCAGCCTCTTCTGCCCCCTCAATAATGGGGAGCTAAGCAGCCTCCTAAGAAATACAGGTAAAACTCGAAAAATTAGAATATCGTGGAAAAGCTCATTTATTTCAGTAATTCAACTTAAAATTATAACAAATAAAGGCTTGACATATCTCGCTTTGCATGTCATGAGTCTATTTCATATATTAGTTTCACCTTTTAAGCTGAATTACTGAAATAAATGAACTTTCCCACGATATTCTATTTTTTCGAGTTTCACCTGTATTGAGGGGGCAGGTGACACTTCTGCGCTCCAGAGTTGGCGCACCTGGTGGTCAGTGCCTGGTGAAAACTGAGGTGCCAGTGGCAGGCTGGCAAGGCTTACTGGGCGACAGGGGAGAGGGCTTGGTAATTTATTCAGCTCACAGAATGTGGCTTTTCTTGGAACAGAAATGATGGAGAGGGAGGGAAGGCTTGTGTAGAGAATAGAAAGTCGTTGAATTCACAAACGCTTCTTGTTCCTCTCTCACACATGACATTGATCTACTAAGGAATAATCCACACAAAGAGAACCGCAGTGAGAAATCAGCAAACGTTGAGCCGGTTTCAAGGTATCACTGCCATAACCACTCAGAAGCCTATGAGGAGAGAAAGGGTGAAGAGCGACAAGCCAAGAAGAAGCTTTACCTGGCATCCACAATCTGCTGCATCTTCATGATAGCAGAAGTCGTAGGTGGGAGTTCACTATTTCTCTTGTTAAATCTCTCTCTCTTTCTCTCTCTCTCTCTCTCTCTCTCTCTCTCTCTCTCTCACACACACACACACACCCTCTCTAATCGAGGTAAATGGGAAGTGCAGTCAAACCTCAGTTGTCAAACTTAATCCGTTCCGGAAGCCCATTTGGCTTCTGAAATGTTCAGCAACCGAGGTCCAGCTTCTGATGGGCTGCAGGAGCTTCCTGCGCTCAAGTGGAAGCCGCGTCGGATGTTCGGCTTCCGAAAAAGGTTCGAAAATCAGAGCATCTACTGCAAGACAGAGCTGTTCCGCCTGGCCTTTGGTTTGGTCCTGACCCTTATGTTTCCCTCCCCTTATGGTTTTGATTTATGGGCTACTATTAAAATGAGGCCTCATTTTAAATTGTATTTTAACCCGTATTATAATAAACTGGTTTGTTGGTTGGTTTGTTTTCCCCCTATTATGTTTTATTTTTTATTTTATTGGTGTTAGCCACCCTGAGCCCAGCTTTGGCCAGGGAGGGCGGGGTATAAATTATTATTATTAATAATAATAATAGTTATTAACAACACAAGGTTTTCCCCATCTCTAGTTTATAAATCGTTTAAATTGTTGTAGTGCCAGCTTTAAGCAGGGCTCTTTCTTTTGCTGCAGAACTTTAAGCTCTGATGAAACACGTATTAACTGCTAGTACAGACAGCAGTCTCTTTGACATTGCAACGATGAAACTGTTTTATTTTCAAAATCAGTCTAGACAGTGCTTGCTGGATGATTGACCACTGAGTGACTGACAATTCCCCTTGCTGTGTTAGTGCACAAAGCAGTAAACAAGTCACTGTGAATAACGCTCCATCTCGGAAACAAATTGGTAGGAACATCATTACAAAGCAATAAAGACTTGCTAATCTGAAAGAAGCATTTGTCTTTAAAATAATGAGAGAACAAATTATCCTTCCATCCTGCTCTTAGGGGCAAACGTAACTGATACAGTGGTCTGGATCACATACAACGCTACGCCAAAGGTATTACTTCAGGTGGACAAGGAAGTGCGCAGCTGCACAGAGCAAAAAGAGTCAAAGCCACTTTGCTCCTTCCTTGATCCTGCTGCTGCTGGGCCACCTGGAGCTAAGATATGGTTTGGATCAATGTTGTTTTCATAAGGACGTTTTAAACAAACAACAACAAAAACAGCAAATGGGCGTGGCAATGTGGAGAACTGACTTTAAGATTGGAAAAACGAGAAACTGAGAGAAACCCCAGTTGTCAGATTCAACAATACCTAAGCCAATGTGAACCAGAGGATGGAAAGATCCTGGTTTGAAGGACACAGTGGCTCTCTCTCTCTCACACACACACATGTCCAGCCATCTAATAGTTACATCAGTCATGCCTTGTAGGGACCAGCTGAGAGGCCCAAACCCCAGTAGGAGACCCACTACCAATCCCCGGGTGCCTCCTGTCCCTGGTGATCTTCCTCTGTGCTGTTCTTGTTTCTTCTCCTGCCGCCCATGACCAAGCCTTGAAAGGAACCCTGAGAAAGTGCTGTAAAGTCCACATTCCTTGTCCTGTCTCTGTCTCGAAGATCTGGAAGATACAGTGTCCTGGATCTTGAGGGGGAGGATAGGCTGAGTGAGGATGGAGGGGAGAAGCAGTCTGTAGAGGATCCAAAGGTCTTCCTGCAATGGCCACTCCTGAGTAAAAATATGTAAGTTTTGAGTGACAAAAAGACTACCATATACCCTCCAACGTTCCTCAGATGCAAATAGGGCCATTCTATTCTACATCAGTATCACAGATAGTTAGTTGTATTTATTGATTTGGGGGGTTTCTGTTTCCCTCAGGCTTTCCTAACCACAATACATAAATTCAAAGATTCCTACGCTTAAAAAGCTGCACCGTTTCCTGTAATAACTTTTGTACTTGATCAACCACGAGGAAAGGTTCAAGCAGTGATACTGATGTGGAACACAATGTCCCTATTTTCGTCTGGGGAAAGTTGGAGGGTATGCTACCACTGTCTTTTGTGTGCCATCTGTTTTGAATTTTTGCTTCCTTCCTTGGATTGAGTAACTATCATCATTGCTTTGACCTAGGTGGACACATGGCAGGGAGTCTTGCTGTGATGATGGATGCATCCCATGTAATGGTGGACCTGATGAGCTTTCTGATCAGCATCTTTTCTCTGTGGCTGTCATCTAAACCCCCCAATAAGAGATTCACCTATGGATGGCACAGAGCAGGTACCATACGTTATTGCAATGTGAAAACTATGAAAAGCAATCCCTATCAACAATGGATCAGATGCCGAGATCAGCACAGAGTAGGGTTCCTCAAGCTTGGGTCTCTAGCTGTTTTGGGACCGTAACACCAATCATCCCTAGCTAGCAGGACCAATGTGGTCAGGGATGATGGGAATTCTAGTCCAAAAACAACTGGAGGACACCAGGTTGTAAAATGTTTCGGGTTGTAGCCAACTAAGGTCCTACTCAGAGTAGACCTATTGAAATTAATAAACCTAAGTTCATGTCTATTAACTTCATTGGGGCTATTTCAGGCTTCAGGAGGATCTCCAGAGCCTTGGAATTAAGAAACAGATTGCTTCTGAGCATATGCTTAGTCCAGGAATTTGTCCACAGTGTCAGAATGGAGCTCACCATCATGTGATAAATAAATTAACTCCTGGTTTTCCCCGAAGCTTTCTTCTTCAGAGCAGATCGATTTTGAGGACAAAAATGTCTGTCTCCTTTTTTTTTACGGTTACTATTGTTAAGCAAGTGGGAGTTGGAAATCCCTGTCAAACTACTCTGAATAATTTTATGTGGACTGCTTTGGGGTCCTTGTTAGGTTGCTTTTATGAATGACTGGGGGCCCCTCCACCAGATGTGGGGTTTTTTGCTGCTATATTCTGCAACGTGCCATTGATATAATAATACTGCATTTGTGGCAAATTTGTACTGGACTATTCACATATCATTCCACTTTGTTAGCTGTTGTGCGATGCTTCCTCCGTTTTTACCCTATTACTGTACTGCTATCTGGAAGGACACCTTTGCACTACAGTGTAAAAAAAAAATGAGAGACATGAAACAAACCCCAAAACCTTTGTGGCATGAAGAATTTCAGCAAAAAGCTAATGGGACATGTACTGATTGGAAATGAAGCAATATGTCTGCCTTGAAACTCTTGCAGGTACAAACAGTACAGAATCATGTGTGACCTCCCCATAACATCATGTCTACAAATCATCATGAATGCACAATAAAAGGGAGGTCCAGAATGAATGAATGAATGAATGAATGAATGAAGTGTCATGACTTCCCCAAAGGAATCCTGGGAATCAGGAGTTCTGTTGGCGAATTCTACCTTCTTCACAGCACAACATATCCCAGGATTCCCTGGTGCAATGGAATGACCATTAACAACTTCCCCTCCTCCTCCTCCTCTTTCTTCTTTATTGAATTTATAGACCGCCCTATACCCGGGGATCTCAGAGCAGTTCACAGAATAAAATCAAGATATAAAACCACAAAATACATAACAATCCAATAGCCACCCCCACACAAAAAAAAAATTCAAAGGGGCATAGAATGTAAATCAGATCAACCAAAGGCCTGGTTAAAAAGGAACGTTTTTGCCTGGTGCCTAAAGGTGTATAATGAAGGTGTCAGGCAAGCTTCCCTGGGGAAAGCATTCCACAGATGGGGAGCCACTGCAAAGAAGGCCCCTTCTCTTGTTGCCATCCTCCAGACCTCTCAAGTAGGCAGAACATGAAGAAGGGCCTCAGAAGATTATCTCAGGGTCTGAGTAGGTTCTTATGGAAAGAGGTGGTCCTTGAGATATTGCGGTCCTGAGCTGTTTAAGGCTTTATGGGTCAAAACCAGCACTTTGAGCTGGGCCTGGAAACTAATTGGTAGCCAGTGCAGTCGGACCAGAACTAGCGCAGTCGAACCAGCACCAGTCTATAGTGTAGGTAGAAGATCATATGCCCTACATCCAGTTGGGGGGGACGGGACAGTTTTTCACTGGAAAAATATTTTAGTTATCCTACTATCCTAACAATTATTTGAATCACTAGAAATCCTTGGAGCTTTCCTGTCAATTATCGTCATCTGGGTGGTGACTGGCATATTGACGTTTTTAGCCGTCATGAGGCTGTGGCACCCACATTATGAAATTGAAAGTACAGTCATGCTCATTACGTCTGCCTGCGCAGTAATAGCCAACATAATGTAAGTGGTCCTTTATTTTTGTTTTAATCTTAAATGCTTCTGTGTCGAGAAAAATGTCATGTTATCATGAGCAATCTCTCCCCCCCCCCTTTAAAAGTCTAGCTGGGTTCTGCAGTTATATTTCAGCAGGGGAAAACTGCAAGAGAATATAGAGTTCAACTAAGCTGGATATTTTGACATCGCTGGAATGGGCTGGGATGTTCAGGGGAGGGATGCTAAGATGTCGGATTCACACAAAGAACAGCTGTGTAAGACAAACTGGGTTTGCTTCAAGTCCTGATTCAGCAATTGTGATCGGCCCCCAGTTTCTTTTGGAACATGCCATACCTCACCTGACCCAGGTGCTGAACCAAATTGGTGAACTTCCACAACCCCTGGGTCAGGCAGCAAGGAGAAGCATGGAACAAGGAATGGATGTCTCTCTTACATCATCTCTTTCCCCCTGCCTCATTGCCCAAACACATGTTTAATATCCTCCACCCCTTTTGACAGCTCTGGGTGAATCCGATCCATGCAGATCCATTCTTAGGATCCAGGCAGATCCAGCCTTAACCCATTCCGGAAAAATCTCAGAACAGCCCAAATCAGCTCAATTGAGATTTGTCTGGTCTAGATGCATGGGCCTAGTTGTTATCTAAATGTTACTGCAATCATTTGGAATAGCGTTAAGGAAATAATGAATGGCATTGGTCTCAAGGAGCTTACAGCCTAAATGTTGACAGCTGGGAAGACAACAGAGGAAGGGAAGGGGGGGGGGAGAAATGCAATTACAATTAAACATAATTAGGCTTCATTACAATTTGAGGATCAGGGGCGTAAGCCAAATGCTTCATGGGGAAAGTAGGTGATTCAAAGGAGGAGCAGGGAGGCCACCACGTACACTGGTACCTTGGTTCTCAAATGCCTTGGTACTCAAACAACTTGGAACCCAAACACTACAAACCCAGAAGTAAGTGTCCCAGTTTGCAAACATTTTTCGGAAGCCAAAAATTCTCTGTTTTGAGTGTTACACTTCCGATTTGAGTGCCACACTTCTGTTGTGAGTGTTACGCTGAGGTCTGTCTGTTTTTGCTATTTATTTTGCATTTTTGTTTTTGCGGCTCTTTTTGTTTGTTTTTGTGACTGTTTGGAACCCAGTTCAGCTAACTGATTGATTGATTGTGTGACTGCAGTACATTGTTTATTGCTTTCATTTTATGGATCAATGGTCTCGTTAGATAGTAAAATTCGTGTTAAATTGCTGTTTTAGGGGTCTGGAATGGATTAATCCATTTTGCATTACTTTCTATGGGAAAGCGAGCCTTGGTTTTGGGACGCTTTGGTTTTGGGACAGACTTCCAGAACGGATTAAGTTTGAGAACCAAGCTACCACTGTACAAGTGTTTCAACAGTCTTGTGGAGGGAGACAGGAAGAAACAAATGCACTTGTCTGCCCAAACTCATCCCCATAACCGCAACCACCTAACCAGGGTGTTTAAACATAGCTTTTGGCTACACTGATAATAAAAAAACCTGCTTGACACCAATTCATCTGCCTGCATTACAAACTGCGAGGATATTTGCTTCATATTTTCAAGAAACAGGAGAGAGAATTAAATAGCTATGGGATTTTCTCAATTACATATCATAGCGTGCAGAAATTGTACGTGCTATGCCGATTCCAATAACTTGTTTTTATGTGCGTTTGATGTTTTTGCATTTGGCAAAGACTGTAAAGAAAGTGTAGGGGTTTTTCTGGTTCCGTTGACCTTTAGAACATATATCACTTTTCTAATTAAAAAGGAACAAAAATCCGAAGTGGTGGACACAATCAAATTAAAGATTAAAACAGCACATTAAAAAACAGCTGAACAGAAACCAGAAAACATAGAGCATCGGAACCTGATTTTAATAGCTTTGTCAATGATGTGCTGGAAAAGCAAAGGGGTGAGGGTATGAGTGGTCTTGCTCGTGTGATTCTTGCAGATTAAGCTTCACCTTGCATCCAAAGGGGAAGGAGCATCTTCACCACGGCCACAAAGCCCATCACTGCAGACCTTCGGATTCAGAGCAGGTGTTAAACAATGCCAGTATAAGAGCCGCTTTTGTCCACGCCATCGGAGATCTGTTCCAGAGCCTTAGTGTGCTAATCAGTGCGCTTATAATTTTCTTTAAGGTCAGTTTTATTGAGTTGACTCACCTCCATAGCAATTAAGCATGCAGCTGTTTTCATAGCACGTCTCATTTTTATGCAGTGCAGCATTTTGTTCTCACAGTGGCCAACCTATGGGAAGCCTGAAGCAGGGCATGAGTGTAATAAGACTCTCCCACACGTGATCTCATGCAAACACTATTGAGAGGGATGTTGCCTCGGATACTGGAGGTGTGTTGCCATTTGAGGGAATGCCAAAGTCTCACTTCCCACAGCTTGTCTTACAAAATTTCACTCAGGTCCACACCATACATTTACATCCTTAGACCACCTTAACAGTTATATGTGTTCCTGGGAACTGTAGTCTATTAAGGAGGTTGACCTCATGGATCCAAAGTTCCCAGGATCCTCTGTGACTATTAAAGGGATATGACAGTGCTTTAAAGGCATGGTGGGATCTGGCCGCGCTCAATCATTAGTTGTTGTTTATTAAACCGCCAATGTTGCACTGGGTCATTTTGTCCTGACTTCATTCCTCAAAATGCCACCTCTGTTACGGACACTGCTGTGAGGGTAGGATGGAGAGAACAGACCCCAAATTCTGGGTTCCGATATGGTTAATACAGTGGTACCTCTGGATGTGAACGGGATCCGTTCCGAAGCCCCGTTCGCATCCTGAAGTGAACGCAACCCGCATCTGCGTGTGTGCAGGTCGCGATTCACTGCTTCCGCGCATGCACGCGACGTCCTTTTGAGCGTCTGCGCATGTGCAAGTGGCGAAACCAGGAAGTAACGCGCTCCATTCACCGCGGAGTGCAACCCGAAAAGGCTTAACCTGAAGCAACTTCAAACCAAGGCATGACTGTACTTATTAACTGGTTCAACCTATTTACAAACCTGTGGTGACAACCACAAGGCATTTGGTTACAAAGCAAATTTTATATTACAAAGCATTTTTTAAAGTGCTTGTTAACAGAAAGTGGTTTATTATTGGGCTGCTGAATGGAAAAAAGTAGTGATGCAATTGACTTCCGACAAGCACACGGAGTGCGAACAAGACTTGAGTGTATTGGGGGAGGGGGGGCTCATTTAATTTCACTGCACACAGGTGGTGTAGTGACAATAACAGTTGTTGTTATTATTATTATTATTAATTTTTTATTATTCACTGAATATCTATTTTTTCTAGCCAGAATACAAAATAGCCGACCCTATTTGCACATTTGTATTTTCTGTACTTATTCTGGCAACAACCTTCACTATTTTACGGGACATTTCAGTTGTGCTGATGGAAGGTAAGGTGTTTTGTTTGTAGAGCAACTTTTTTCCTGCAGAATCCTTCCTTCCTTCCTTCCTTCCTTCCTTCCTTCCTTCTATCTACACTACTTATTATCCCACCTTGTTTGCATTATGAACCTCAAAGTGAGGTACGTCAGAGGTGTCCAGGTGGCATCCCATTCATGAGCAAAGCCACCTACAGAATATCAAAGTATGAACCAGCATAGATCTAAATATTGAATTCAACAATAAAACATGATGTAAACATGACAGTATCCCCAGTTCTTAATGGCTGTCCAGGTAGCTCCCTGGTTTTCTAGGGAGTTTCATCTGATGAAGATGGCCATGGTTAGGACTGCTGGTGGCATAAACCTCAGCATGACTATGCATTCATTCAAAAATTATGGGATTTCGTTATTACATTTCTCCTGTCCCACCAGATATCAATGAACGTGGGGTGCAGGAAATACCCAGCAGACCCAAACCTAGGAGGTCAACAGCAGAGGCTGTTATTGCTTTGCTTAGATATCTAGAAGCAAGTGAGCTGTGTGAAGGAGCAGATCAGAAGATGTTTGCATCATCCTTTGGCCAGAACTTTGATTGGTCTGATTATCTAACCTGATCCAACCATTCTGGGGTTTCTCTTAGCTCTCTGAACAAGCCTCCTGTTCAAAGGAACCTGCCCTTCCACTGTGGAGCACACAAACCCCTTAATTTACTTTCACGAAGGACCAGTTCACATATGTATGCAGCCTGGTGGTCTTTCACATGCCGTAATGGTGGATTATTTCTCTTCCCCCTCTCCTTCCCTCTCTCTCAGATATGCAGTGCAACATGCAAAGCCCTTATGTAGAGAGATTGGGGTTGCACAAACTTTCCAATGATAACAAGGGAGGCAGAAATAATGGTGGGGCTGTGTGTATTCTTGAAATGTTCTGTGCATGGTGAATTGGGTTGGTGTGGATACACCTCTCTTTCCACTATGGGAAGAAATTAGATTGGCTTGGTAAACACACGGACAAGCTCAGAAATGAAGCATTTCTAATGATCTGTGATTAAAAATTCTCTTTAACTGTAGGAATCTGTATTCTGGAAATAAAAAAAGGCATTTACCCCCTTTTCTACAGGGTCCCCTGGGGTACTTCCCTATGATGAGGTGAAAGAGAGAATTCTAGCAATAGAAAAAGTGGAGTCTGTTCACAGCCTTCATCTTTGGTGTCTGACAATGAATCAGATACTCCTATCAGCTCACATCGTCACAGGTCAGTACATTTCTGTAAAATAAAAAAATGAGCGTTTTCTTGGGAAATGAGGTCAAGCTGAAGTAAAGGCCACTATTTATCTGTGGTCACTGCTTGGTTGTTTTAAAAAGGGTACATAAGATGATGGGGGAAAAAATTGTTGTGGATCTTATGGTCCCAGCTCAGAACATACATCTCATTGACATCAAATGGCAGTTCCTTCTATGCGCTTGTAATTGTAGCCTACCTGAGTGTAAGCTGTGAGCCAGAAGTTCAAATCTTAGCCACAAGGTAGCCTTTGCTAGGGGGTGTAATGGGCACCACATATCTGGCTCAGGGAATCAAATCCCACGGTGGCAGCCCAGAATCAGAGAAACAATCAAAGTCCTTACCAAGCAATTTATTCAATAATTTACAGAGAATGATGAAGGAATCATTCCTAATAATGGTGTTGCTCCAAGTAAAGTCCCACCCCTCCTGAAAGGTAAAGGGACCCCTGACCGTTAGGTCCATTCGCGGACAACTCTGGGGTTGCGGCGCTCTTTTCGCTTTACTGGCAGAGGGAGCCGGTGTACAGCTTCCACGTCATGAGTGGTACCTATTTATCTACTTGCACTTTGACATGCTTTTGAACTGCTATGTTGGCAGGAGCAGGGACCAAGTAACGGGAGCTCACCCTGTTGCAGGGATTCAAACTGCCGACCTTCTGATCGCCAAGCCCTAGACTGTGGTTTAGAACACAGCGCCACCCGTGTCCTAGCCCACCCCTCCTACATCTCCCTTATTTGACATCACTCCTGCGTCGGTTAATCTGAGCTTTCTGCCTCTGAGCTCTCTATTCTAATACCCTCAATGCCCGTCTGGTCTTAGGAATTCCAGAAATTAGGGTTCCAGGAATGCTTTCCAAGGACACTGAGTCTGTCAGCTGTCTCTTCCCTGGTGCTTCTCCTTCTTCCTGCTGTTCTCCTTTCAGTATTTCCTAGTTTCTGCCCTCTGCAGCCTCTGAATTATGCCCTTCTGTAAACCACTGTTCTAAATCTATACTATCCTCCCGTTCTCAGGAAGGTTCAGGAGAAGAGGGAGTGGCCCCCACCATTCCTCTTCAGTCCAGTCCCTGACACCACAGCTCTCTCGAGCTCAGAGCCCTCTGTCTGAGATATGAAGATGATAATTATACTGACCAGGAAAAAGGGGAATGGAAATATTTACTTTTGAAGAAAAGTTACGCTTGAAAGTCACTAGGGTCCTGTTTACTGGGCATTTGTCCTGATTTGTTCACAAACAGTTTTATGACATCCACGATTACTGAGCATTTATCCAGATTATCTTGCACACAGATTGCGGGGAGTTTATATGACATATTGTGCATCCATTCTGATTTTTCTGTGGGGAGGTTTTATGATGTCACGTCAAATAATTGTTATCCCATCGTTTCCACTGCATTTACCTGTCAGTTTCCTTAATGCAAAAAGCCTGGGTTGTTCTTTTAAGCAGCTTTGTTTCCCAAGTGTACCAAAAACACTTTAATTGTTTAACCTGAATTTGAATTCTTCCCTACAGATTAGCAACAGTCTGGAAGCCGCCTAGTTTTTGTGAGCCCCACCCCTTGTTCGACAAACTCTTCTCCTTAGGACTGCAAGATGTGCACTGTATCCATTAATTCCTTGTGTTTGTCTCCTACAGTGGATGCTGCAGACAAACAACAGATTTTGAATAAAATTACTGAAGTTCTATTTGACACTCACCATTTCTACGCGGTCACCCTTCAAATTGAAGCCAAAGCAGACCAGAAACCAGGCTGTGTTTTCTGTCAAGACCCAAGAGACTGAAGCTATTGGGTTGCACTAATAATCAGTCATTTGATGGGTCCATGGCTACTAAATGAGATGGATTAATAGGCTTTGCTTTGGCCCCAAATCAAACTGCATTGAAAACACAATGGCCTGAGCATTGTGAAGATTGCAGAATGCACGATTAGGGATCAGTGATTTAATCCATTTCCTCTCCTTACAACTTTTGTGTATGTTCATCCATAAGTCCTTTCCATTCTGTTTCCATATTAATTTGCTTCTTTATTTAAAAAAGTCTGCAATTATGTATTTAAATTCTATTTTGAAATGTATTTTCTCATAAATAAGCATTTTAAAATGTGTTTTCTCTCAAAATGTGTGTGGCTTTCTTCTGTTCTGTTTTCTTGTGCTGAGTTTTACATTGAGGCAGTGCAAAAGTCAGTGCATAAGTAACAGAGTAATCCCAACTGCCCCACCCCCTTACTCGGAGGTTGGTTGAACACCTCCACCTAACAAGGGGTTGGCAAATGTGTCAATTTTGTTTTCTTATTTTTCCTATCTTAAGTTCAGTTTTCCACATTTCCTCACCAGGTTGCAATATTTTAAGTCCTCATCAAAATTTGCCCCCAGATTAGTGTGAGATTCTCCTAATGTATGCAATTTTGTCTAATGCACACATTTTTGCAAAGCAATTTTCCTTACTGCGATGCATTTTTGTATGCTGTCTCCACTAATGTATGCATTCATGTGCAGAACATACCCTAGTACATGCATTTTTGGCTGCAGAACAGCAGTGCAAAATTCAGAGAAGTGTACAGTTTGAAGGATGATGAAGAAGAAGAGTTTGGATTTGATATCCCGCCTTTCACTCCCTTTAAGGAGTCTCAAAGCGGCTAACATTCTCCTTTCCCTTCCTCCCCCACAACAAACACTCTGAGGTGAGTGGGGCTGAGAAACTTCAGAGAAGTGTGACTGGCCCAAGGTCACCCAGCAGCTGCATGTGGAGGAGCGGAAACGCGAACCTGGTTCCCCAGATTACGAGACTACCACTCTTAACCACTACACCACACTGGCTCTGTGTTTCAGTTTGCATATTGTTTAAGAAGGTACAAATTGGGTAAGCTCATCTTTATATGTGAACTGGATTGAATTTCTCCACCATCCCTACACCCAGCTAAGCTGGCTGCCATTGCTACAACATGATGCAAGCATCACTCTGTCAATGCAGAGCTTCTCCTTCTACCTACCAAACATGCAGGTGGGAGGAAGGCTGCCAGTGGAAGACCCCAAAATGAGACCTTCTGAAGGCAAGGATGGCTCAGCTGGCCTGGGATCTGCTGGCCTCACCACTGTCATATGATAGCATCGGTCCCAATCGCTATATCAGCTCCAAACTAGAACAACCACCAGTCTGCACCTCCCCTCCAGCACCCACCCCTTCTGCTGTAATGATCCCGTTGCTACATAAAGCCGCACTGTTCAGAAGCCAAGGTCTGAATTGCCCTATGAGTTCCAATCTACGCATTAGTCCGGTAGATGCCAATCAAGTCAGTTCACATCATAGACTCAGATACTTGGAAGGGACTTTGGAGGTCATTTAGTAACACCTACCCACGTCCTGCCCAATGCAATGTCTGCAATTCTGGACACAGTTACAGCATCCCTGACACACAGCTCCCCAGCCTCTCATTAAATAACAAGCAAAGAAGAGACATCATCATCATCATCATTATTCCCTGCCTATCTGACTGGGTTGCCCCAGGCACTCTCCGCAAGCACTGAGTTCCTCAAGCATCCCTACTAGTGCCAGGCTTTAGGGAATCTGATCCCCACCCCCATGGTAGGCAGCCAAGAATTGGATAAAGAAGGAGAGTTCTTACCTGTGCTGGGCCAGGGGGTTACCCAAGTAACACGGTCCAGGTCCAGTCCCGAATCCAAGGGTTCCATGAGAAGTCAGTCCGACAGCGCCAAGACAGGACACGAGACAGGAAACCAGGCACAGGATCACAGGCAGGTAACAGCAATGTTGCTCCCACAACCTGGGGCAGGGTCCAACAGCCTTTTATCTTTGTCGGGGTAACGGCCGGTCCTGATCCCCCGGTGACTCACCTCCCTGTCTTGCCTGAAGGCGAGCACTCCTCCTGCGAGTACTCAGGGCTCTCCTCCTCTCAGACCTTAGTCTCTGCAGCTCGGGAGATGTCGGTGGGTTACTAGACCCAGAGGCCACCTCAGCCTTTCCTGACCCAGGAACAGCTGTAAGTGATTGCCCAGCTGGAGGCAACGAGGTAATCCTTGCATCTGGAGCCAGGGTAGGCTCAGGCCCCTGACTCGACCCAGCTGGTGCTTGTTGCAGGGGAACCTGTGCAGGGGCTCTTCAGAATCAGGCCCCAGACTTGCTTCAGATGCCACCTGAGGCAAAGGATCCAGTGCCGACTGAGACTCCTCTGGTTCGAGCCTGAGCCCGAGTCCCAGTCCATCACATTACCAAGTCTTTTTATTCAATATTCACAGAGAGGGGCTTAGAAAGGAGCTCTTGTAGTAATAATGGTGTTGCTCCGAGTAAAGCCCCCCACCCCCTCCGTCTCTCCTATTATACGTCATCCCTACATTGGCTAAGCTGAGCTTTCTGCCTCTGAGCTTTCTGTTCTCCTGCTTTCAATGCCTGCTGGGTTCTGGGAGAAGCGGGGGTCTGGAATGTTTTCCAAAGACACTGAGTCTGTCTGCTGTCTCTCCCCTGGTGCTACTGCTTCTTCCTGCTCCTCTTCCAATATTTCCCAGCTTCTCCCCTCTGGTCTGGGACCTTTCACAACCCACCGTTCCAAATCTATACAATGGTACCTTGGTTTAAGAACAGCTTAGTTTATGAACAACTTGGATTAAGAACGCTGCAAACCCGGAAGTAGGTGTTTTGGTTTGTGAACTTTGCCTTGGAAGCAGAACATGTTTCACTTCCTGTTGAGTGTGCTCCATTTGTCCCCCGCTGCTATGGGAAAGCACGCCTTGGTTTAAGAATGCTTTGGTTTAAGAACGGACTTCTGGAACGGATTAAGTTCGTAAACCAAGGTACCACAGTAATGTCTCCTTCTTCTCTGGCAAGTTCAGGCTGAGGAGGCGGCATCCACTATTCCCCCCCTCCTCCTCTACCCAATCAGTATCTGACAACTAGCAATGAAAGGAAGCAACCCATTCCATCTTATTTCTACGTTGGCATACAAACCATGCCTTGTGAGGGGCTGCTAAAAAAGATATTAAACCATTGGCCATGCTGGCTGGGGGTGATGGGAGCTGGCCACTCCTGCTGCCATGGAAAGGTTTGGGGAAACCCCATTCCCAACCCCATAAATGTTTGAATTGCAACCTATCAGCCCTAGTTAGCGTGGCTAAGGTTAAGGAATGATGGGAGGTGCAGCCCCACTAGCAGAGGAAGAGGAGTGCGGGGGGAGCGCACCGCCACCAGCAGTGCGATCCCGGTGGGGTGCCATCACGGCTGCCCCTCTGCCCACGCTGGGTGCCATGCCCCCACAGGCGGTGTACCACCCCCCAGCCCCACCCCCACCTGCTCTCCGCCCCCCAGTGCCAAAGCGTGAGCTGTAGGGCCACAGGGCCCCCCTCCCCATTCCTGCCATCAGTCATCCTTGCCTTGGGCCCTAGGAAGGAAAAGGAGCTTGTAAACTCTGTATAAACCCAGAAATCTTCCTGAAGCATGCACAGCGAAATAGCACGCACGGGCTCTAATTTACCACACTGCCTCAATTTCAATAAGTAATAAAATATTGAACGAAACGTTTAAAAAGAAGCCGGTGGAATCATTAACTACTGAAAATGAGCAAAACAACAAGATGCTTCTTTAATTGCCTCTCCCCCTTCCCGACGCACAAAGACACAGTTTATGGAATGAGACACTATTGTGAGACAAAAAGATAATCAATGCTGAGTGGTTGTTCTAGTGAGCTGTGCGGCAATTTAACAGCGCAAACAGACCAGAGAGGCTGGAGACCCAACTTAGCCTTAAATTAGGGTCTTGGGATATTAGAACGGAAAGGCCAGCTGAAGGAACACAAGCCAAAGAAGCATAAAATTACCAAATGCACAGTAATGCTGCTGCCACAGATGTAGCGACTCATGCAAGGAAGCGTTGCGGGGTGACCCAGTTCAGGGATAAGGAATCTGTGGTCCCACAGATGTTGTTGGGCTACCATCATCCTGGTCAGTGGCGGTGCTGGCTGTGGGTGATGCAAGTTGGAGTCCTACAGCACCTTGGGGGGGCTGCCTGCTCCCTCAGGGTCTCGCCCTCCAGTTCTTAAATAAGTTCTCAGTTTGAGCTAACTCCATTGGTGCTGAAGGAACAGCTCCTCTGGAAGCCAAAGCTCTTGGGACCATTCTTCCTTGGAGCAGGTAAATGGACAAGTGGAAGATGCTGTTCCATGTCCTCACTCTCACCACTGCTTGGATGCTCAAGAGTGGACAGACAAGCAGCAGCAGCAGCAGCAATAGGGTGGCCTCACATCCTGCTTTACAGAGGTCAGTCCTCTGTCTGTCCAAGTGTGGTTTAAAGACACCTAAGAAGAAAGAGCAGAAGCCTTGACAGTTGCCCATCGACAGGGAACAACATCTGAGCATCAGGCTGAACAGAGACACACCACCTGGACACAGTCTTCCCCAATATGGTCTATTTATTGTGCTTCCATTCAGATTTCAGCATCTGTACATCAAGCTAGCCACATTTTGTGCAAATCTGTGCTCTTTTATGGCAACCCACTCAGTTGTTGTTTTTTAATTTTTATTTCAAAACCCCCCAAAAATTACAAACATCAAATTCAAAATCCATATTCATTTTCTAACATAAGCCTATTACATAGATTACCTAAATTAAAACATATCTAAGCGCTCTAGGCTTCCCTTTGCTATATGTAAATACAACACAATTAACAAATTATATTATAAATGATATTATAGGTTTCTATCTACCCCCCAATCCCCTTCACCCATGTGTGATCTCAATATTTTGCTTCTTCCATCTTGTTGGGTTGTTATACAGT